TTTAAAATATTAGTAAAAAATTATAAACTCAATTTAATATTTCAAATTAAAACTAGAAAAATAAAAGTCTTTTTAATTCAACTGAAACATGAACAAAATTTTAGTGAATATATGTTAATAAATACTCCCTCGTGAATTCAGAGAAGGCAAACTCGTGCTCAGAAAGATCATGTCTTTTAACATTGATTCTAGGGGCAAGTGGACTCCTAATTTCGAAGGCTCATATGTTATCAAGAAAGACTTCTCTGCGGTGCATTGATTCATGAAACTATGGATGGCGAGGAGTTCCCACGTCCTATGAATGTTAACGCAATCAATAAATACTTCGCCTAAAGAAATAAAAGAACAACTCGCTAAGTCGAAAACTCGAAAGGGAGGCTTAGGCAAAAATGAGCATATCGGTAGGCTGAAAACTTGAAAGGGAGGTCTAGGCAAAAATAAGAGACACAAACGAAATAAATTTTTCCGCTAGGTTGAAAATCTACAAGGAAACCTATGCAAAAGATAGGGATTTCTTGACAAGTAACTGCGTCACATAATACTTGATCAATGAAGCAACAATCTTCTCAGATCCTCATCGCACTTCAACAAAAGCCGCTGCTCAGGAGTTCCAAGTAGCCAGGGAGAATAGTGGTCATTGTATTTCAATGTATCTTTTTCATATATTACCATGTTCCAAACTTTATAATCATCCATGGAGTCTCACCATTCGCAAACTACTATTCTATTAATAAAGTTCGAGCCTTTATCTAATTCCTTGTAATTCTTATTTTATTCTTTTTGCAAAGATTTCATTTATTATTGATAGTAATTTTCAAAACAAAGAGATTTAACAATAAAAATATTTTTTGAAAGGAATTTACAAATTACTTTTTACTTTAGATTTTATGATTCAAGTAAAACAAAAGTAGTGATTCCAAGGATGGACGCACTCCAAAGTTTTGAAAAAATATTCCCCATGAAAGTTCTACCAGATCACTCTTGCTGATATGCACATGATCTTCTCGTGTTTCTCAAGTAGTTGGCGTACCAATTAATATATGGTGCGATGTTGGGCATGTAATCCCATTTTCCCAGTCAAGTATGGGGTCCGATTTTTCTCCTGGTTGGTTATTTTGGTTTGACGTCTCTATCCCCGATTCTCCAATTAGGATCTGACGCAGATTTCCCCAGCTAAGCAACTAGACAAAGGCATATATCTTTTCTAAGAAGTGTTGAGACAGTTGTAAACTTTTTGAGTTTTCTCTCACCAAATCTTGGGTTTGATTTAAAATCCCCATAATTTTGATTTCTTGCTATATTGTTAAACTTCTTAGATCTCCAATTGAAGTTGAGATGATGCTTCTCTCTAAAAGTTGTTATCCCCATAATGTTTCATAATTTCTCCCCAGAGAAGTTTGAGTAACCATTACTCTTGATATTGAAGAATGTATTTTGGCTCCTCTAGATGATGTGGTGTTGTACTCCCTAATGAAGTCAACACGAAATCCCCAGTTGAAGTATCGACGATGTGGTATTCAGCTTCCCTAATGAAGTCAGTATTATAATCTCCAGTGTAAGTCTAGACGATGAGGCATTGTCTTCCTTATTTAAGTCTGTATGATATTCCCCGGTGAATTCTGGATGAGGATGTTATATCCCTGCGTCTGTATTGGTTTATTTCTATCTAATTATGATGTGATTATTTTCAAGCCATGTTTTCTTCCTAGTGGAGTTAGGCCGTGAAGTAGGAATTTTTTCCCCACTTGGTGCTTACTTTCTTATGAAATTTTCCTCCTAGATGTGATTTAGCTGAGTGTTGAATTTACCCAAGCTAGTTTGGTCTGGTTATTCCTAGTGTTGTATGTCTGTTTTGTCCATATATACATGATAACACTCATACATTCATACATACATCATGCGCTGAATTAAAGTTCATTGCTCATTTGCATTCATTGATGTTTTGTTAGCATATTACCCTATTTTACAGAGTTATGTTACCCTCTCTCCAATAGAGTGTCAACCTTAAGCAGAAAGTGTATATACTTTCAATTTCCCCACTGAGTTATCCCTCGTGGAAGAATTAAGCTTTAGCCTTCTTATTCATCTCATTATTTGGATGGAACGTGATCTCTTTTTGAGTTTATTTCTCATCAGGTGCTATCTTGGCTAACTGTTTCACTCTGGTTTATTTCTGGTTTGGATCTGTAGTCCCCGGAAACGTTATTATTATGATTTCTACAGGATTTAAGCCCAAGTATGAGAATATGCATTTCTTTTGGCACGAGAAGACTTTATCTCCTCAGCAGGACTACATTGGCACTTCCCTAGGAAGTCATATTTCTTTCCCCAACATGCTTCTTATAATAGCAAGTGACAAGTCTCTTTATTTGAGCAACCTGTACTTCCCTAGTAAGTGTGTTAGTCCCCAGAGAAGATTCATTTTGTTACTCCGATGAATGGTAGTCTCGTCATTATCGGAGATAGTTCATTGTTGATATTTGGTACTCCGATGAATGGTAGTCTTGTCATTATAGGAGATAGTTCGTGGTTGAGATTTGGTACATCAATGAGTGGTAGTCTCGTCATTATGGGAGATAGTTCGTTATTGAGATTTGGTAATTCAATGAATGGTAGTCGCGTCATTATGGGAGATAGTTTGTTGTTGAGATTTATTACTCCAATGAATGGTATTCTCTTCATTATGGGAGATAATTTGTTGTTTAGATTTGGCACTCCAATGAATGGTAGTCTCGTCTGTTGCACCCCAAAATTTGCCCTCCTAATTGCACTTTCTTGGCTTATACTTTTGCATTCATCTGCATCTTTTTCATTAGGTCACTAACATGGCATACATTTCATTCAATATAGCTCTGAGGTTCAAAGTTCAGTGGTTGTGCGATACTAGGGTTTCATAGTGGTTAAGGCGCTCATATCCAATAAAGGACTTCTTCTCCCTCAAGCAGCAAGGCCATTATCTTTTGATAAACAACCGATTGTAGGTCATTCTGGTCAAGAACTCTAGGACGTGACCTAGCATATGTGGGCTTCGAATTATGACGTCCTTTCCTATAAGTATACTTGTCATTTGATTAGGATTAATGACTGTGACATGACAATCATCTACTCCTCAGTTAATCAAATTAGGTTTTGTTGAATCATGGTTCAAAGATGTTTCATCCGGATATTTCTCTGTGCGTCTGAACGAAGAATCAAGATTGTGAGGGTTTCACATCAACGGAACTCTTCTGTGATTCAGACTTTATCATCCATCTGTAAGATGTTCCTTATGACACTAATCTCAAGTTGAAATAACCGATCGCTAAGGGCTGAGGATTGAATTGTGAAGCGTGGTTCATGACCTAAGATATGAATTCATAGATTTCTCCTTAACCAAGGAAATCATTGTCCTCATCATTGTCATTTGTTATCTGCGATGCGAGTAGGTTTGGATTGAAGTAGGTTTCTCATAGAAGAATTCATGCAAGTTAATTCAAGGTTCAAGACATTCAAGGCAGGGTTTGTTCAGCATGGCATACCTGGTTGATGGGCTTACAAGCTATTATGAGACCTTCAGATGCATAATCATGGGCCAATTTCAAAGATATGTGGATAAGATCTGTTGACTTCGGTTAAAGTAAGCTTTGAAAAATTAACTTTGGGACCAAGGTCTCCCTTGAATTTTCATCTAATATGTGTTGGGAATTCGAGTTGCATTTGAAGAATGGTATGGTAAAGGAAAAGAAATATTGGTTCAGAAAAGAAAAAATTCATTAAAAATCAGGGTTTCTATTCATTGATAAAAGTTCAAGTAATTGAAGATCAGGGGAAATAAGGTTTCATATTAATCTTGATCATATTCTTTCATTATCATTTACATCCATCTTTGATGATTTAAGGTCGTTAATTAGGGAAGGACTTTGTCAAGATAAGAAACTTGTGGATTGAATCATGGAATATGAGGCATGATACAAAAGGCAAGGTTGTGAATTTTTTAGGATCAAGATCTTATTGACCATTCAAATTATTTGTCATTCAAGTTGATCTGGGTTCAATATTGAAGTTAGGAGTTCATTGAGAATGCAAGTGTGATTTGGATTTGAAGTTTGATTTAAATTCAAGATGTTCGAAAGTGTTTGACTGGATTAAAGTCGGCAAAGAGTCTTAAGTATTGTTCATATGGCTTTCTTGGAAGGTAAAGTGCAGACTGCGAGGTTTTGTTTCAAGTCAGAGTTCATACGCATTACAAAGATGTTCACCGTTATTTCAGATTCAAGTTCACAATGCGTTCAAACATTTATTCAAGAAAATACTATCCAATTCCATTTAATTTCATTCAAGTGTAACAATACCTTACAAGAAAATTTGATGCTTTCATATCTTCAAGCATTTTTTCAAGACTTTGTCATTTAAACTCGGTCCAAAAAAAAATTCATCACCCAACATTTCAAGCTCAAAGGTCATTTACAATTCACACTATAAATTTCAAGTTCATCCAAACCAAACTTTCATTACAATCCCATTACACCAATATTCTACAAAGAAAAGAAAACGGTTACAAAATACACTTGAACAAAATTCCTTAGTCCTAAAGTTGTTAAAATTCCATGAGTAAACTTCCAATTCCATGCCATGCCAAAGTTCTTCATCTTCAGTTCATGACCTGCACATTCATACAAAAAAAATCCAAGTCAATACAAGCAATCATGCCAAAATATCCTATGCTCATACAAATTACTCGACACATGAAAAACCATTAATTAACCAAAACCAAAACTCAAACGCAGGGGATTTCACTGTATCAGAAAGATTGAAGACTAGTGTACATGTTAATTTGGTTTTCTATCTAATTGTGGGATCTATTGGCCTTTTCGGAATTATTCTTCTCATTATAATGCACAGGAGCTGGAGTGGGAGTCTTTTGGGATTTGCTATGACTTGCTCAAATACACTTGGACTTGCTACGGGTGCATTTCTTCTTGGCTTTGGTTTAAGTGAAATTCCTAAAAGCATTTGGAGAAATGTCGATTGGGCAACTCGTTAGAAAGTTCTCTCCCACAAAATTGCCAGTGAAGGTTAAAGTAGGTTTTCTCGGATCAGTGAAACTTAAGGTTCCGTGGAGTAGGCTTGGCCAAGATCCTGTTTTAGTATATTTGGATCGCATTTTCTTATTAGCTGAACTTGCAACACAAGTTGAGGGATGTAGTGAAGATGCAGTCCAAGAAGCTAAGAAGAGCCTAATACAGGAGACGGAATTGAAACTGTGGGAGAAGCCACAACAAATACAGTCAGAAATGAATAAGTCATGGTTGGGATCCCTCATCAGCCCCATAATTGGAAATTTGAAGCTTTCAATTTCTAATATTCACATCAGATACGAAGACAGTGAGAGAAATCCAGGGCACCCATTCGCAGCTGGTGTTAGTTTGGACAAACTCTCGGCTGTGACAGTTGATGATAGAGGGAAAGAGACTTTTATTACTGTGGGAAGATTTGCTTCCTTCTGAATGGTTTCAGATATTTAATTTTGGAACTAAAGATGGGAAACCAGCAAATACTTTGTCGCGAAAACACTTATATATTCTGCAGCAGGTAACTGGGAAAGCAAAGTACTCAAAGCTGCATTCGAGTGAAGTTGCTGATAGCAAACAACCATTGCAGACGGCTATGGTGAATTTGGATGATGTTACAATCAGCTTATCTAAGGATGGATACAGAGATATGATGAAATTAGCAGACAACTTCGCTACATTTAATCAACGTCTAAAGTATGCTCATTTCCGTCCACGGGTGCCAGTAAAAGTTGATTCCAGGTCTTGGTGGAAGTATGCTTACAGAGCTGTATCTGATCAGATGAAAAAGGCAAGTGGAAAAGTGTCATGGGAGCAAGTTTTAAGATATGCAAGAGATATATTTCTCTCTATGCTTCACTGCTCAAGTCTGACCCCAGTCAGGTTACAATTAGCGGAAGTAGAGAGATTGAAGATCTAGATCGTGAACTTGATATTGAACTTATACTGCAATGGAGAATGTTGGCGCACAAGTTTGTGGAGAAATCAACGGAGTCAAATCTTAATGCGAGGAAACAGAAAGCGGGGAAATCTTAGTGGATGGACCGATAACTCTCCTAAAGAGGATACAGAGGAATTCAATTTCAGTGAAGAGGACTGGAACCAGTTAAATAAAATGATTGGGTATAAGGAGGGTGTTATGGTAGCTACTGATTCTCGGGCTAGTATGGGAGGATATATATCATCACAATCTGTGAAGAAAATTATTGAAATTAATCCATACATGCTTGGGACAATGGCTGGAGGTGCTGCTGATCGCCAATTTTGGCATAGGAATCTTGACATCAAGTGCCGCCTGCATGAGTTGGCAAATAAAAGAAGAATTTATGTAACAGGAGCCTCTAAGTTACTTGCAAATATTTTATACTCTTATCGTGGAATGGAATTATCTGTCGGTACCATGATTGTTGGATGGGATGAAACGGGTCCTGGTCTATATTATGTTGATAGTGAAGGTGGAAGACTTAAAGGCACTAGATTCTCAGTTGGATCTGGTTCACCATATGCTTATGGTGTATTGGACAACGGGTACAAATATGACATGTCAGTTGAGGAAGCTTCTGAACTGGCTCGAAGAGCAATTTATCATGCAACATTTCGTGATGGAGCTAGTGGTGGAGTTGCTAGCGTTTACTACGTGGGACCAACTGGATGGAAGAAATTGTCTGGTGATGATGTTGGTGAACTTCACTACCATTACAACCCGGTTACCCCTAGCACCGTGGAGCAATAAATGGTTGAGGCAGCTGGACCTTGATGTAGTAACTCATGGATATATTTTGAGTTTCCTATACTTGTCTGCTTAGTTTGAATCAATTGTGCATCTACCAACAGAATGGTAACACCAACTAACATTTTCGTTAAACTACTAACTTCTTCACATAGCATATTACCTCTTAATAACAAAATTTCCTTCAACAAACTTAGCTAAATCCATTAACCTCCTTTCACAATAGAATTTCTAACTAATTTGTTATTAAACTGTCATATTCCCTAACTGTCCAGCAGAAAAATAACTAAACAATATCCTAGCTACTCTTCATTCCAAAACTAACACATAACCTCCCCTCTAACAGATTTTCCAGCTCATCTTTTAACTATTGTAACTAACTTCCTCAACTCCTAACAAACTCTAACTAACTCTAACTGCATCTTAACCTCCTAACATAATTTTTGTTAACCAACCTCCTATAACAAACTGCCAGTACATATATACCAGAGATCACAAATAGAAAAAGAGGGAGAGAATAGAATAGGATTCAACACAAAAAAAGGGATTTTTATTACCTCTCAATCATCTCATTCTTCACCATTTTTGAAGAATCCACACCAAGAAAATCTCCATAAAAATTCTCAGTGCTCCAACATCATCTTCAACCTCCATCAACAACTTCAACTCTATCTATGCTTCTCTGCAATATCCCGTCGATATTCACCTGAAGATTTCTCTGAAAACTCATCTCCCTTCTTCATCAATAATCTGCAACAATATTCATATAGTCACCATTATTGCTTCATCGCTGCAACTTCACAGCAACATTGACATCAAGAAGGACGAGCATTCGAAAAGCAGGAAAAAGCAGAAGACGGTATCGCAAGGAAACGAAAGAATCAAAGATTTTATACCTGAAGTCTACATCAGTATCTCTGGTTTTCTACTTCTACTCGCCGCCGTTGATACGTATCGGACGATCTCTGATAGGTAACTCCCGGATCACCTCTTTTTGTCATCTCTTTGCTTAGCTTTTGTTACAACCATGGAGCATTAAGCTCAAGGAACTATAACCCCATGGAATCGTAGGCTGAGGCACGCATATTACCAGTTAGTTTCCATTTTCAAGGATACTTAGGGTTTTCGGACGTTGATCTATAGGAAGGATTATGAAGAAGAGTTGGCAAAAATTAAGTTCGGATTTAGACTCAGGGGTTAATTTCGGGTGAGATTGGTGTTTGGAAATTCTTGATCCAAGGAGGTTTGCACGGCAGATGAAGAGACGGAGGCTCCGTGACTGGAAATTGGAGAGACCGACGGCGCTGTTCGTGAGGGAGAGGAAGAGAATTTCTTTTCTCTCAAACCCTACTCCCTTTTCATTTTTACATATCTTTTCTTTTTAATTGTTGCATTATTTTATTATTCTTTTATTTCAAACAAATAATAATAATAACTAAGTAAATAATAAAGAAAATGTTGAAAATCTTTTTGGGCAAATTACTTCAGCACCCATATTTCTAGACTTCATACCCCCTAACTCTTCTAATTTTTTCTTTTCTTTTATTGTTTTAGTTTTTTTCTTTTAGTTTAATTTTCTCTCTCAATTGATAATGAAATGATACAAAATAATAGAATATTTTAGAATTCGTTAGAATTTTTTTTTTAGAATTTCGATTAGAATTTTTTACTATTTTATTTCTCATATTTGGTAATCATTTTTATTGCCACTTTTTAGTCAAGATTTTTGTGATAGCATCGACATAACTCTGGCAGTATGGAATACTCGGGGTTAATTCTTCAATCACTTGCCCAAGGGAACGTTGATAGAATTTCCTTACCGCTTGCACAATTTTGAGGAGGCAACGGACCTTCTCCGTTCGGTATCGTCACAACTCTATTTTTACTCCTGCACTTTACTACTTTCTAGGTAGAATTCCCTCGAGATTCTAACTTTAGGTCTAATACACGATAACATTAGATTTAGAAATAGGCTAGTCTTCCTGTGACTTTCGTCTTCCTGTGACTTTCGTCTTCCTGTGACTTTCGTCTTCCTGTGACTTTGTCTTCCTGTGACTTTCGTCTTCCGGTGACTTTCGTCTTCCTGTGACTTTCGTCTTCCTGTGACTTTCGTCTTCCTGTGACTTTCGTCTTCCTGTGACTTTCGTCTTCCGGTGACTTTCGTCTTCCTGTGACTTTCGTCTTCCTGTGACTTTCGTCTTCCTGTGACTTTCGTCTTCCGGTGACTTTCGTCTTCCTGTGACTTTCGTCTTCCTGTGACTTTCGTCTTCCTATGACTTTCGTCTTCATGTGACTTTCGTCTTCCGGTGACTTTCGTCTTCCTGTGACTTTCGTCTTCTTGTGACTTTCGTCTTCCTGTGACTTTCGTCTTCCTGTGACTTTCGTCTTCCTGTGACTTTGGTCTTCCTGTGACTTCGTCTTCCTGTGACTTTCGTCTTCCGGTGACTTTCGTCTTCTTGTGACTTTCGTCTTCCTGTGACTTTCGTCTTCCTGTGATTTTCGTCTTTCGGTGATTTTCGTCTTCCTGTGACTTTCATCTTCCGGTGACTTTCGTCTTCCTGTGACTTTCGTCTTCCTGTGACTTTTGTCTTCTTGTGACTTTCTTTCCTCCTTTGCATATGCAGTTAAAACAAAAAACTTTTTTTTTACAAACTTCAAAAATACATAAAAATTTACTGACAAAAACCATGTCTTGGCTAAGTTTGAGAGATGATGAGCGGGTTTCTTCTCGACATTATTATTCTCTTGTTCTAAGCTTTGGTATGATTCAAGTCTCAAAGACTCATTTCATGAATAAATAGAGAAATGGCTAAAATCCCTCTCTTGAGGTTAACTAGCTATTGTCTACAAGCAAAAACACCAACAAACATAAAAATCTTTTTGCCCTCGGGCCTTTGTTTCAAACCCTTTTCAAAAGAGCGTATTAATTCACTTCTGTGCTGACGCGTAAATCTCCAAAGGTCGAGTTGCGGCAGAAGGCGAGATTAATACTATTCGTTAAAGAAAATACAAACAAACAAAAACATATAAGCCGAACTACAACTGCTCTGATTCCTTAAAACGGATACGTAGGCATTGGGGTAGGGCCCAAGCGAGCACAATTTTATTTTCCCTACATTCTTTTCTCCTTTCTTTTGCATGCATTTTCCCTTCAGTAGTATAGTAGACAGTAAGCATAGATTAAACACACCCATAAGATAGATAACAAGAGTGGATACCGTAGAGTACTACGGGCGTGTGGGGTGCTAATACCTTCCCCTCGCGTAACATACTCCCTTACCCTTATCTCTTGGTCGTTCGACCTTGATTTCATCCTTCTCGGGTTTTCTCGATGTTTACCTTTCCCTACCTGTGGGATAAAAGACGTTCGATGGCGACTTCATTGTTTTGATGATTTTCAGCCGGTTGTTTCAGCTGGCGACTTCACTGGGGAACTGGTCGACCAAATGCTGGTCCATCCCGGAGTCGCTCCTAGCTCTTGCTTTCCTTTCTTTGGGTGTCTATTTTTATGCTTTCAGTTTACTCATTTGTACATGTTTGCCTGAGCATAAGTGCATTGCATTTTTATTGCTTTCCCTATTTGTTATCTATTATGCTGGACCCTGTTTTCCATGTTGGGTGGGGATGTCACTATTGAGGTAAAAGGCCCAGTACCCAGGCCAGAGTGCACTTGGACACTAGGAATAGAGTGGGGGCATGACGACTATAGGACGTGGTCCGATTAGTGCAGTCATGTCATATACCACTCTCGGATGAGGTTCAAATGAATTACTATCGGCACCCATGTCTGTGGGTAAGCCCCTAGTACTTTCAGGCGGACCCGTGATTTTCGAGTTACCATTGTCTTACCCTGACCTAGTCTTCACCCGTGAGTGGGGAGGGATTTGTCATTACAGGTACAGTTGGTGCTATGTTCAAATGGTTACTCATGCTCAGATGGAGACTGTGATCAGATGGTGATTAGTGGTTCTAATGATCATGTTATGGACTTCTATCAATGACTTATGCATATGGTGTTCTGTTGGTGACCATTTGGTTCTCAGATTTATTTTCTGAGTTCCTGACTTGCTTACTTGGAAGTTCATTCAAGCCTTTGATCTTGGCATTCCCAGCATACTCAGAAATGCTCAAGCAGTACCTGATGTTCCTAAAGCCTTGATCTCATGCTACTTAGATCTACATAGTACTCG